ACAAACACACATGCACACACACCTGTGCACACACACATTCCCTAGGTATGAGACTCAGTTTCGACTCTAGGAAGTATAACCAACTTCAGTAAAAACACTGACAGTGATGCTGGAGGTCCCTAAGGAAATTGACCAGCCAACTTACTCAGTGTAGGGGGCCTACAATCTTCAAACCCCACACAAGTGCTTAAAAGTTTCAAATTTGTTAAGAGGAAGTAATCAAGGATTGCTGAATACCTGAAAAGAGCTTCTGAAATGAACACTGGGTATCAAAAGAAACAAAAGAATCAATTGTGAGGAAATAGTGTGTGGGGAGATGAAAACAGCTAAATATCTTAAATGTATTCAGAGAATAAGAGAAGATACTGCAGTTGTGAAAAAACCGGATCTAGTAAGTCCTCAATGACGTTAACAGGCTATTGGCAACTTTGACTTGAGCACAATGACATGTTGAAAGCAGATTCTGAAATACTTTTTTTTTTTTCTTTTTTTGCTTTGGTAATTTTTTTTTTTTAAATAATAAATTTTATTTTTATATTCCCCATACAATTGCAACCCCCCCATTCTGACCCCAATCCCTCCCCTCCCGCCCCTCACCCCCCAAAAAGTGTCTCTGGTTCATAGTTTTTTGTTGATTTTGATTTTCACTTTCTTATAGTTATTCATTTTCCTGGTCCCTTATTTAAGTTTTCTAGATTCCTGCTATGAGTGAGACCATCCGGTATTTTTCTTTTTGTTTTTGGCTTATTTCGCTGAGCATAGATCCTGAAATACTTTAACATAAACTGGCATTGTTTACTTTTCATCAACATTATAACAAAGGAACATTATTGTAACACCTACTGTATACAAATATTTGTAGATAAAAGTATTATAGAAATCAAAAAGCCCTAAAAAACTGTTGGAAGGATCCATTGAGAAAAATATGCAGAAAGTAGAGCCAAAACAAAGGTTGAAAAAGGAAATAATCAGAACCAATATAAGAATTGAACATCTACATAATAAAGAGTTTCAGGAGAAAACCGACTGGGAATTTTTTTTTTAATCATGAAAATTAACCATAATAGGGTATATGAGTTTCCAGATAGAAATGCTTAGCATATTTGTAATAGTGTACATTTTATGGACCATTTTTAAGAAACTTAAATTTTCAAGTATATTCAACAATTATATTATTTGCTTTAGCATTTTAAAGGCACTTAAACTACTTCTTGAAGGTTTTGCTACTAGGTGGCTATTTAAAAACCTCTTCCCTATCATTCTGTAACCTTGAAGTCATGAAGCTATTTGTGCCCTATGCTTGTATCTTCTCCACTTCTAATCACAGTATCAGGCTTACTATCAAATTCACCCAGCAATTCTTGTCACTCTAGTTCTTCAAATTCGCCCCACAGATCCTTATCAGCAAGCAAATCCTTGAATTTTTACATCTTTTGCAAAAATCTGCTTCAAAAATACCTGAATTTTTTGGTTCGGAGCAAAGTTTATGAGTGAGGTTTATGAAGCTTTGCTTTAAATTCAAAATCACTGTTAATTTCCTCTCATATCATCAATTTCACTTTGATGGAGGCTTCGAGTAGAAAATTTGGGATGGAGGCATCACAAAGCAGACACTAAAGATGGGGGGTGGAAATGATTAAACCAGCTGTAGAAATGAAAAGTCCTTAAGTGAGACCCAGAGAGAGGGATATGGGAATTGTCAGTCATTACAACGGACTCCTATAGGAAATACCAGTAGGTGCAAGCAGATAGCTCCTGTCTCGCCTGCTGCTCCCCTCAGCAGTATATTTCAGTGAATCTGCCTGTTCTGCTCCCCACTCTGTCTCTGGTGAAACCGCCCTCCTTTCTTCTCCCCCCTTCCCCAACCTCTGGCCTACATCCCAGGTCTTCTATGCAACCAATAAATAAATAAATCAGTAGGCTCAAACCAAAGGTGGGGATATGCTGAGGGACAGCACAGAGAATCACAGGTCCTGACAAATTAACCCAGTGACACTCTAGAAGTGATAAAACTACAGATAAAAATTTCACAAAGGAATGTACTCCTCCATAAAAAAGGAACACTCTGTAAGAACAACTCCACCCCGCTCTGCCTATGGTGAATCCTTTCACCCTCCCGCATCTCTGGCCTGTACCCCAGCTCTTGTATAAATAAAATAAATCTTAAAAAAAAAAAAAAGAACAACTCCAGCCCTGGCAAAATTCAGCTTTCCTCCCAAGACTGCCTGCCTGTGTCTATGCAGGCGTCTCTTGTGACAAACTCATCCCCTCAAATCCAGCTCTTTCTGCCCACTTGTAACTGTGCAAGTGTCTTCTTTCCTTTTTTTCCCCTAATAAACCTGCCCTTTTGGGATCTAACCTTCACCGACCAGTGTCTGTGCAAGCCTCTTCTGGCAAACTCACCATCGGCCACTTAAAGGGGCACTCTGCAGAAACTTCTCAGTGGTAACCCAAAGATCCCACTTATCTGAACCCTACCTCTCATCAGAACCCATCAACCTGCAGCATCACTCATCTTCTGCATATCTATGAATTCCAGTCTGGATTAGAAATTTTTCATCACTCTTTTTATGTCATGTATTGTTTTTCTTACATGTTCTTTACTGTGGTGGATTAAGCCCACAGCCTGCTTTGCTGAGCACTTTGTCAGCCATCTGTCCCCAAATAAACAATGACTTCATTGGTATGGACAAGTTTTCCTGGCATGAAGGCAAAGGGGCTATATGGTACCATGATAGTATAAGATAATTTATCAAAATACTGAGTCTTATTCAAGGACTTTGTAGTCATCTACCTTCTTCCAATGCTGGATTTTTTTCTCTCTGCCTTTAGCGAACACCTTTTCTGATCCTCCCTGGCCTGGCCTTTCATGGTGGGGTCGCTGGAGCGAATGACCTCTAAACAAGTGGTTATACCGAAGCAGTGTGGCCTGCAGCTCGCCCTCATGCTCTGTGCACCCTGCACAGAGGATGCAGTGCCTGCTCTCTCCACAGCCAGTCACAGCAGCAGCTACTCCCCTCCTCACCCACTGCATGCATCACACACCCACCTCTGGCCTGGAGCAGCAGATCTCCGTGAGAGCGGGAGGCTCACCTGTCAGTGCTCAGGCCCAGCCAGGACTGGGCTGGCAGCCATGCGGCCTTTGCGCCTCCCCTGCAGGCTCCACTCCATACTTAAACATTACTTAAACATTTCTACAGAAGGACTACATCATCTGATAAAAACTCACTTTACCCCTTTAGTCCTCTAACAAAAAAGTCCTTATTCTCCACTCCCACCCTCTGGTCTGTTCAGACCTCATCTCCACTTTACTTTGTTAACTTCCATCACTAGACCTAATTTTTATGAGATTTACTCAGCTTGATGCTTTACAGGCTTTCCCAGAGCTCATTTTTTCTGTCACTCTTCCAGAGACAATGGTGAATTTGAGCCACTCTCTGAACTAACCACACCTAATGGAAATCTTGCAGAAGTCTAGTTTCAGTAAACATCCGCCCAATTTTGGCTTGTGTTTTCTGTGAAATCAGAGTTTTAAAATAATAAGGATCACACTCATAAAACTCCTTAACCAAAAACAATCTGGATCCAATTAATAGCAAACTCTGAAAACTTAGGGGCAAGCAGCTGAAGAGACGGAAAAAGTTTCCTCAATCAGGTTCTGGGTAATCAGGTAATTTAAGCCAGAATACAGTAGCCCAGGTCCAGTGTTAACTGTGAGTTTTTCTACTTGTTGAAAAAGATACTTGCAGAAGTGAAAATGGTGTGGCTCTAAAATTCCCAACACCAGCAATTTTAAATCCCTGCCTGCCTTCAGTTTAGCGAAAACATCTGAATTGAGATATAAACGTCAGTAAGCAATGGCACTTGCTATGCCTATGCCCCACCTCCTAAATACCTGCCATGGCCACCCGGGTGCCCTTGGCTGGCTGGTGGGGCAGGTGGGTGTGATTTATAGTAGAGATTGCTGCCCCTGCCCCCCAACCCTGGCCTCATTCCTAGCATTAATTGAGTCCCTTTTCTTTGGGCAAGTAAACTCTAGGCTCAAGTTTTCTCATCTATAAAATGAAGAGGTGCATTAAGCTCCTGATTTTATAAGTGTCATAAACAGTAAAGAAAAGCAAAGCAATGCACGATAGTGTGCGGACAGCTGTGCCTGGGCCATAGCCTACCACTTGTTGCTTCTCACATGGAAATCCTATTAAGAATTCACCAAAACTAGGGCCTCCCTGGTGGCGCAGCGGTTGAGCGCTGGGTTGCGAAGCTGCCCGCAGCCTCTGCAGCGCCAGTTCCATCCCCGGCTGCTCCCCGGCCACCAGAGGAGGGTCCCACATGGCGCGCAGACCTCTCCTGCCGCCCGCTGCTCCCCTCAGCAGTGTACTTCGGTCCTTCTGCCTGCTCTGCTCCCCGCTCTGGCTCTGGTGAATTCTCTCACCCTCCCGCGCTTCTGACTGTACCCAGTGCTTGTATAAACAAACAAATAAATAAATAAATAAAACATGCCTCTATTAAAAAAAAAAAAAAAAAAAAGAATTCACCAAAACTCATCTGGTCCAGTTCTAGGCTGCACCTTCTTTCTTTTCTTTTTTTTGGGGGGTGGTATTTAAATACAAGTTTATTTTATACACACACACACACACACACACACATATATATATTTTACATCGTTCTTGTACAATGTATACTTTCTCCTCTCAGGTGTAGTCCCCATGGAATCCCCACCACCAATTCACCCATGCACCATCACCATAGTCCCTTGTGCTCTTCTCTCCCCTGTTTTGATCCTTCTCCCTCTTCTTCCCATTTGGAACTCTATAATCTGCTCTTTTTCTCTTTTTGTTTTTGTGATACATTTCTGCTTAGTGATTGTTATATTCTTAGCACTTTTTCGTATTGAAAATAGATGTTTTATTTCGTTTATACAAGGTACAATTTCAAAATACAAATAATATATAACATTTGGATATACTAGACAAAGAAGTATAAATATAGATGCATGTCTGTAAAATGTCACTCAGTTCTTTTTTTTTATTCTGAAAAACACTTCAATTAAGAGGATCCATTGGGCACTGATAATCTCTCTATTCCTTTTCTTTATTGGCTCTCAATGCATGCAGAGCACCTGAATGGAGAGTTTTTAGGAGCTGAAATGCTGGTGTCATGCTTGTAGACGCCTCTCAAGTCAGGAGAAAAGACTTGGAATTAACTAAGAGTCTCAGGTATATTTCTTTTCTTTGTAAACTGCAAGTCAGGATGAGGGAAGGAAGATAGTCGAGTAGAAAAGCTGTCCTGAATAAATGTCACAGTGAAATAAAAAACCTGGATAGGAGGTCTGGAGGCTTTCAGCAACTTCCAGGAGAGCTGAGACACTCCACTTTCTGCCTTAGACAGGGCAATGCAAGGCAGTGCGGCAACACAGACAGCTTCCATCCTATGCCTGGAGAACCTATCATCCAGGCAGTTCCTAGGCTGGGCACAGACAATAAAATGATACTGCACATTTCCTCATCCTGGAGGGCTTTACCCTGGAGTCCAACTCCTTGAGTCTTATCTGGGTCCTCTTCAGTTAGAGCAGTGTTGGCGCCCTTGCTGGCCTCTGGTTTTCCATGGAGTGACGTTCGTTGTAAGCGTAGCTTTCTGTGTCTTCCTCTCTGTAGTTGATTTCCCTCGTCATTGGTATATCTTCTGTGTTTTCCGTTTCAGCACTGGGTATCTGAAAAGTTTGCCTATAAAGCATGTAAGTCACAGGTTTTGAAAAGAGGCGATGGGCACCCTTAAGTCAAATGAACAGATAGTCCCCATGGAATTCTCCGAGGGAGAAAACCTAGATTGCCTCCATTCTTAGAGAATATTGAAATCTTTTTTTTTTTTTTACATCCCTCATTTGCCAAAGATTTACTGATGTTGTTGGAGCAAATTCCTGGACTTTGTCAATTCTCTGTTCAAAAACAATAGTTCAAATGGTAGGAATAAGAAAAGGACAGAATAATGAGGGGCCTGGCTAGATGTGATCAGCTTGATAAAAAATGGTATAATATTTATAAGCTTTTAAAATAGTACTTGGCATCTAGTGTTAAGCAAAGAAAGTACATGAATCAGTTCTTGAATAACTAGGAACAGGAGAGGCAGAACATCTTATTTCCACGTTGACCTGTGTGGTTGAATGATACATTTGGGTCAGCAATTATGTCCATGGATTATATAATCTCCCTCCTGAGGGGAAGCAGCTTTTTAGGACATTTGCAAATAAGCACTATGAACTCCTTGAAACTATATATCTGAGCCAAATTACCAAAATAATTCTCTAAAAGCCAACTTAATTGAATGAGAAACCTAGGAAACAATTTGCAAAAAAATCAGTTTATGGAAAGAATTGTCACCAAATGACCAAGTGGCCACATTTATCAGATTTACCAATTCTTCTTAATGATATATATGCATGAATATATTTTTTTAAAGATTTATTTATTTATGTATACAAGAACTGGGGTACAGGCCAGATGCACAGAGGGTGAGAGGATTCACCAGAGACAGAGCGGGGAACAGAATAGGCAGATTGATTGAAATACACTGCTGAAGGGAGCAGCAGGCAAGACAGGAGAGGTCTGCCACGCCATGTAGGACCCTTGCCAGCCTGCCAGGATTGAACTGGCGCTACAGAGGCTGCGGACAACTTCACAGCACTGTGCTCAACTGCCTGTGCCACCAGGGGAGGCCCTGTACATGAATATTTTTTTAGTGTAGTCAGCGAATATTGTTATTTTCCTCTTATAAGAATATTTATTGGCCATAAATAACACATTTATAAATTCTTTTTAAGAATATATCTTCAGCAAAAGCAAACTAATTTGAAGGGACATCTGCACTTTTGTGTTCATTGCAGCTGAGTTTATAATCGCCAAGTAAGTAATGGAAACAACCTAAGTGCCCAAGGACAGAGTAGTGGATTAGAAAGATGTGGTATATATACATAATGGAATACTACTCAGTTATTAAAAAACAATGTACTTTCGCAATTTGTGACAACATAAATGGAACTAGAGTGGAGAATGCTAAGTTAAATAGGTCAGAAGGTAAAAGACAAATATTGATGGTTTCATTTATATATGGAGTCTAGTGAATGAAGCAAAAGGTCGGACAAAACCAAACCAATTACAAGCCCTAGAAAACTGACTGGAATCAAGGTTATGGGGGAAGGGTAATACCATGGGGAGGGGCACAATGGATGAGAGGGTGTGGTTCTCTGCCTCTGAATCACATGCAGTGTTGTTAACCAACATTACCTCAAAAAATATTTTTTAATTTATTTTTTAAATAATTTAAAAAATTAAAAAACTTTTAAAATTATTCCTAAAAAAGAAAATGTATTCCTTTATAATATATTAAATAAATAGATTTAGTTGCTATAATCTGTTAAGAATATAACTCTAGGGCCTCCCTGGTGGCGCAGCAGGTTGAGCTCCGCACTGTGAAGCTGTCTGCAGCCTCTACAGCGTGGATTCGAGTGCCGGCCAGCCAGGGAGATACCCACATGGTGAGGCAGACCTCTTCTGCCACGCCCTCTGCTCCCCTCAGCAGTGTCTTTGGTCCGTCTGCCTGTTCTGCTCCCCGCTCTGTTTCTGGTGAATTCTCTCACCCTCCCATGCCTCTGACTGTATGTACCTCAGTTCTTGTATAAATAAATAAATCTTAAAAAAAAAATGTAACTCCAACATTTTTATGTGGAAATTGTTTTTATAATGACATTTTGAAAATCCTTTTAAAAGTCATTTTCTATTTTGCCAACATTGTAGCATCTTTTGGATTGCTTTGACAAATTTTTGAGTAGTTTATCAATCTTAGCTTGCTGCTTTCTATTACATTTATGATTTATGAGGTTTGTGACATTACTTATTGCTTGGGGTGGTATTGACAGTCCTTGAAGAATTTAAGTGAATTTTTAGATTGTTTTTTCATTTTGTCCTTAGAGTAGCATTTCATGGACTTCCTGTGGCAATATTAGGCTAAACAATATATTGTTATGCTATTCTTAACAGAATATTTTATAACTAGTAACCGAAAGTTTCGTTTCAACAAATCTAATAATCATGTATGTGTATTGCTGATAGATCCAGAGCAGTCTTATCACTGTGGAATGCTGAAATGCTGCTCATTAATGATAGAAGTATGAAATTAAGACCAGTAGGCCATTTGAGGTCTTATGAAAGAATGACAAAAATGCCTAAAGAAAATAAAAAGAAAGAAAAACTGAAATTTCAGCAAGTGTCAGAAACAAATCTTGTCCCAAATGCTGAAATGGAGAATTCCAACTATTATAAATACAAAAAATCAGGTCAAAGTGAATGAGTATATTATATTACCAGAAACTTTATCCATATTTAATGAGTACATTCAAGTAGAATATATTCATGACTATATCATAAGAACTGATGCAAATTGCGTTATCTACCAACTCTGTCATTTGGTGCATTCTTTCTGCATTGGATTTTGGTAAACTGACCCCGTCACCAGTTAGCTCTCACAGCTCCATTTCCCACTGGTGACCTGAAACTTGCTTGTGAAGGAAAGAGCTCTCTAGATCTGGCTCAGTGACATGTCTTTTGGCCAACAGAGAAAGGGGTGAGAGTGCGAGCTGGAGTCAGGAACAGGAAAGGTATGTTCCTTTGAGAGGGCGCCCACAGTCATAATGCATAATGCAATTCTCATAGGATTGGAGGAATCTTGCCCACTGTGACTCTCCTGTGCTACTTACCTTGGGTTTTTGTGACATGCCAGGAAAGATGCAACTGCACCACACAATATGATGACAGGTACGGAGATTGCCACTATGAAAGAACAGAACTCAGCTGTTGTCGTGCTGAAAGTCCTCACAGCAGATTCATTTCTAAGAATCTAAAAATCCTTTGCAATTTACATTCCTGAAGATCCAAATGCCTTCCCAACCAGTTCACTGTTACTAACATTTCTTGAGGTCTGTGCAATTCAATCAATTCTACATCTGAACAAGAAGTGCACTTCTTTCCTAATAGCACTGCCCCTTCACACTATTCCTGTTCTCCTCCTCCTAGACCTTGTACCTCTTGAGCAAAGTGACGCAGATGACAAGGGTGATGGGGCAAGGATGGAGTAAGTCAGGAGGGGAGAGGAGGGGCCTCAGAGACCAGAAGCTAGGGTGGAGGTATGAAGACGAGGAGGCCAGAAATATGACTGTTAATCCCAAGTTAAGAAAATAGGGCAGAATTCCTCCTTAGGTGTCCCCTGGTACAACATCCCCCTTCAACTTCACAGAATCCTGACTTAGAAACAACACCATGCAGTGCTTTCCCCTCCCCTTCCATTTTCATTATTGTTCTTTGTACCTTTTTATGGCAGAGGAAGAGTGGGAAGGAGAAAGAAGTAGTATTATAGGTGAGAGGAGAATAAGAGAGCTTAGGAAAAGGAAGAAACTTGTTTTGACTGAGTTGAAAAGAACTTCAGGGTGGAAGGCCAGTGGTGGTGACAGCCTTTGAAATTTATTAGACAATCTAGGAAGAGTGTGATGTTTCTGTAGAAGAGGACTTAGTCCCAGGGCAGGGTAAGTGAAACTGTTTTTGTTTTTTTAAAGAGGAAGTTTTATTTACTTTTTCTTCCCCAAAAGATTTATTTATTTATGCATACAAGAGCTGAGGTACAGAACAGAGATGTGGGGGTGAGAGGATTCACCAGAGACAGAGTGGGGAACAGAACAGGCAGACTGACTGAAACACACTGCTGAGGGGAGCAGCCGGGGAGACAGGGGAGATCTGCTTCACCACATGGGTTTCTCTCTGGCCGGCTGGGGATTTCACTCGCGCTGCAGAGGCTGCGTTTTGCTTCATAGTGCGGTGCTTAACCCCTTGAGCCACCAGTGAGGCCTCTTTATTTACTTTTAAGGTCACGCTAATTTGTTTTACTTTTTATTTGTTTGTTTAATTCCCCGCATAGAGCAACCATAAAACCAAATTCCTTTTTCCCCACCACCATCCATGTAATAAAAAAAAAAAACAAGCAGTAAAATTATAAAAGCAAGTAACTACCCAAGTAAATAAAAACAAGCATTGAAAAATGTTAGAAAAGAAGTAACGGTAAACATGGGAAATTAGTGAAAGATGATTTGAGTTTCCAGATTTAACATTAATCATTAGTATAACTAAGAAAAAGAAATAGTTTTTTTTTAGCAGAGATGTTAGATCCAATTGTAAGCTATTTCTACATATTGACTAATGAACTTGGTATGCATTTACTCTTCGTGGAGAGATTTATTGGAAAAGGCAAGTTAATAAATCTGTAGTTCCACTTTCACAATGCTCCTTCCTGTTTCTTTTAGTGTGAATAGAAACTGAGTCGAGAAGACCACTTCTGGAACAAAGCAATTTGAGTTCAGTGATTTAACCCTGATCCTTGGCTTCTTCACCAGTTACATCCTGGGGAAGTTTAGTAAAGAAGCTGAAATAGTGTCACTAAGCTTCCAGGTTCTGCACGCATTTCCTTCCTGGGAAGGTGCATGGATTGAAGAGAAAGAGATTTGGTGAGACAGAAGAGGAGAGAGGGAGGAGGAGAAGATGATGACTGCATGGGAAGTACCGTAGCTTCCCAGCTGGACTTCAGCCTCAGCGTGTGAGATCTAAGGCAGGGATGGTGACCCAGATAGCACAGACCTCTGTTAGATGTGGGCGATGAAAATGTCCTTTGTGAATATACAGGGACTCTCAGCACAACCCTGCAAACTAGGCAGTCGGGATGCAGTATTTCTGATATTGCTAGGACCAGAGTCCTTGGATCCCACGGAGGCAACTTTAAAGTAAGGTTGTGAACTCATTATTCCTGGTCAGGGGCTCTTCTCTATCACTTACTGGACTGAGTTCAGAGTAGGTTCTCGATACATTATTGAGATATTTTATAATCTAACATAGATAATAATAATTTAACACTAAATAGATTAAAGTGTCCTTTGCTTTTTAATGGGAATTTGCATTTCACTGTGGTGAATGGGAGTTCCTAGCACAGACTAGGAACTCAGTTTATACTGAATAAACAGATGAAAGATATAATGCAGAGGTAGCTCCTGTAAAGCCTGAGCAAACCGACTGGAGTGTATCTATTTCATGTCTGAAAGACTAGTAGTATAATGCATTTTGAAAAACAAACTTGTCACTACTATGTATTAAATGAATCGACAGTGTAATAAACACTGTGATTGGTGACATTCTAACCCTTTATTTTATAAAAGGATCTTTCAAAATAGCCTAGCAAGGATCAGAGATTAGATATTGGAATAAAGTTATTGGTAAAAAGGCCAGCTACATAAGCCCGTAGATATTAAAGACAATGAAATGACATATATCCAGACTATCCTAAAGATGTTAGAATCTTCATATTCACTTATTTATTTACTCACTCATTCAGTATTTATCAATTATCTACTGTTTATCATTTTCTGTTGAATTAAAATATCAACTTTTAAGAGTGTGATAATCACTTATATAGCTTATCTACGAAAATAAAATATCATATCACTAGTATCAATGGGCTGATTAAAACATTCGGTTAACAATCACCGAGCAGTTCCGGTGGCAGAGCATCGCTTATAGCTTCTCACAAAGCTGAGCTCAATACTAAAATAATTGTTTGAAAATCTATGTAGAAAAGAAGGTCTCAAATTTTATTTATTTATTTATTTTTTTAATTTTGCTTTTTTTTTAAGATTTTTTTTATTTATTTATACAAGCACTGGGTACAGTCAGAAGCGCGGGAGGGTGAGAGAATTCACCAGAGCCAGAGCGGGGAGCAGAGCAGGCAGAAGGACCGAAGCACACTTCTGAGGGGAGCAGCGGGCGGCAGGAGAGGTCTGCGCGCCATGTGGGACCCTTCTCCAGGGCCGGGGAGCAGCTGGGGATCGAACCGGCCCTGCAGAGGCTGCGGGCAGCTTCGCAACCCAGCGCTCAACCGCTGCGCCACCGGGGAGGCCCAAAAATTTTATCTGTAGATTTTTATCCTACAGATGTACTTGCTCATATGCAAAATGATAATTAATCCAATCAATCATTGTTTAATCCAATTAATCAGTCAAAGAATGTAAGCAATCACTTGCCCCAAATAAGGGGGTGGCCAACTAATTGAGGCAAGTCCATACAAAGGAAGATTTTTGTAGCTGTTAAAAAGATGAGGTGGTTTTGTGTACTGAAATGAAGGCTGTCTAAGATATACCATTATGTGAAACACGTTGCGGAGTGGTCAAAGTGGAATACCTATCCATCCTGATTCAGGCATCATCAGTGTGCTGTCTGCACGCCCACTTTCTCTGGAAGGTTGCACAGAAACCTGGTAGCAGCAGTCCTTCCTCCCTGCAAGGGGATTTTTCAGTCAGAGATGGAACTTACTTTTACTCTACCTCCTTTTGTGTCATGTCATATAAAGAGTTGCATAAATAGAGCAATCAAGATTTCTCAATCAAGATTTCAAGCATTGAAGCGGTGCTGTTAGTGATTATGCAGGGAGCATGCACACACCAGGACTGTTCAGCGCCGGGCTGAGGACCCCTGAACACAGACACCGTGGTGACAGAGGAAACACTTACCCGTGATGCTTGTGGCGCTGTGTGTGTGTGCACCTGCAGAGAAGAGATTGCAGCTCAGTTATGGCTATCATTTAAAGGAACTCATTTTTCATTAAGCAGGAGAAATTATGCACAGTTTGACTCTCATCTTACACTCTGAGAGATATATGACTGGCAGAACCAAACTTGCTTTAGCAAGAACAAGCAGAGTAATTCATTTAGATGCTGGGTCATGCATGAGGATCAGATGTGCCCTCACAGAAGATTCTAGTTAGCAAGAGCTCCTCCATCTCCTAGATTGTGCCTCTATGCTGCAGAAGGCACCTCTGTCTCCCATATTGGGAAGATAATAGAGATTCAGAATCTTGGCAGAGGCAGTTTAGTGCCATTAGTCTTGTCATATCTGGGAGATGGACTTCTTTTATGGCAGGATGGAACAGGGGGGACAGAGAGCAGAGCAAGGTGGCTGCAGCAGAAGGCAGCAGCAGAGAGTCTCCTGACTTGGACTGGATGTTGGGAGGAAATGCTGTTGGCCCGCTCCAGAGCCCACCCTCATCTCAGCAGCAGTACTCAGGGAGTTGCCTCCTAAATTGTGCAAAGCCAGTGCTAACCTGGCGTCTCGGGCAAAGTGGAGGTAGTGTGTTCCATACTCTTTGTTGTTGTCTGAGATGGGGCTTGGGAGTGCTTGTTACTGACTACTTCTGTGGTTCCTGCAGAAGGAGGTTTGGATGGCGTCAGCTTGGAGCCTGGTACGGTAGCTGGCTTTGTGGCCACTGTGGTGTCTGACTTGAAAGTGAAAGATGGCTCTGTAGAAAGTTCAAGACATGGAGAACATACATATTTAGAATAGTCTCTTTTCTCAGTTCCAGAAGAAAGTGGACTTAATACTTAGGAGTGTCTTGTGGTGTCTTTTGAGCCTGCCCTGGGCCAACCCTCCCCGCAGGAACAGAGCCCCGGGGCTCTTTAGGAAAATCACTTAAATGGGTAGCATCTTTACCCATCTGGAATAACCACAGGATTTTTGAGAACGCTAAAGGATTCATAGTTATTTATCATGGTGCACATAATTTAAAGACTCCAAAGAATTGAGTAGATCCAGGCTTTTTTTTTTTTTTTTTTTTTTTTTAATTAGAGGAGGCTTCTAAGAGCCATCAAACTTGATTTGCTGATAATTGGGGTTGACGGGAGGTGAATCTCATGGTTCTCGCAGATTTCTGTACATCTCTCCTAGAGGACTGATCGCCCTTCCTCCACTCTCTTCAAGGATGACTTGTTTCACTGAGTTCCACAGATATGTGTTTCTTATAAAACCTTCCACCTGCTAAAGGCTCAGATGATGGTATGACTTTTAAGCAATACATTACTTTTTAATTAAGTATGTGTACTTTTTAAAAAGACATCATGCTGTTGCACACTGACTAGACTACAGTATCATGTAAACGTAACTTTCAAAGGCACTGGGAAACCAGAACATTAGCGGACTTGCTTTGTGTGATATTGGCTTTATTGTGTTGGCTGGAACTGAACCCACAATATCTCTGAGGTGTGCCTATATAGTTTTATTTTATTTTTTTTTAATTTTTAAACAACATTTGCTTCCCCCCACCCCCTCAGGTTGAGTTCCCATAGAATTTCCTTCCCCAAGGCACCCATGTTGCTGTGAATGGCATGAGTTTATCTTTTTTGATTGCTGAATAATATTCTATTGCGTATATATACCACATTTTCTGGATCCAGTCATCTATTTTATGCCTATATTGTTTTTGAAGATGGAGACAGCATCTCTCGAGAGCAAGGGCATACTTGTTCGTCCCCATTAGAAAAGGCTCAGGTTCCTTGAGCTCAGGTTTCCTCTCCCAGGTCTGCATTGCCCCTGAGTGGCTGGGATGAGAGGCTGGTGCAGGTATGCTGCCTGCTCTAAGAAACTTCTTTGTCAGATCCAGGAGTGTTGTATTTTTGGTGGCGCCCCTGAAACTGTGGCTAACATGAGGTAGGAATAACCTCTGACCCTCTCCAGTTCTTGACAAGAATGTGCATCCATAACTAAGTTCAAACCAACATATAAAGAGTGAGTTTTAAATTGTTATTAATGATGCACATATGAAACCTGGATATCAAGCAACTTTGATTTAAGAAAAATTTAAGCTGACATAAATTTTTACTCTTGATTTTAATAATAAGTATGTTCTATTATATAAGTTTGCAGTGGAATCCCAGTAGAGGTCCATGAATCAGAGGGATTTGTGGGATCTGAGTGGTAGCAGGGAATGGGAATCCTTACAAAGTTTCCCACATTCCTACCTGTTCCAGAAGGGGAAGGGCTCTCTTGCTCTGGGGTCACCCTTGGTGGTGCTACGATGGTGGGTGACTTTTGATGACTCAAGGAGGGGTCTCCTAGAGAGAGGATAACCACATGGCATTTATGATTCTGAGATGGAGCCTGAGGTGGCTTCAGAACTGGATATAATTAAAAATAAATATCTAAATTGAAAGTGAATGTCTCTGGATTCTGAAATAAGTCAGATGCACAAGAAATAACACTATCTCCCAACCTGCAGTCACAATGCAAGTGCAAACATAGGCTGCACACTACTTTTCTAGCCTTTCAAAAGTCAGCACAAGATAAGTATCACATTTGTTTTTTATTGGAGTGATGTCAGTATCAACTCAGCCTTTTCATGCTAGCTTTTGCATGGGAAAATACATTATTGCTCAATAGAGTCAGCCTGTTTGGCAGAAGAAAGAGCATTCAAAGCATAAGAAGTAGGAAAAATAATGGAGGCAGTTGTTAGTGGTAAAAGGTGGGGAAACTTTGGGCAAAATGAAACCTAAAGATTCCTGTAATCTTTAGGTTCTAAAATGTTATGATTCCAGGTCTCTCTTCTCTCCCTCTTCAGAGCCTACAACTCTTCTTCATCACCAAGTCATTCATCCAAACTTTTAAGAAACAGTAACTTTTCCTACAGTGAAAAGCCCTGATTTTTTGCCGCTGGCTTAGAGGTTCTCATGTGTCCCTGGACCAGATAGGGTAAGAGTTCCAAGTTCTCACCACACCCAGCTCATCACTTCAATTGCGCTTGATGTCACAAGACACTATGTTCCCCAGCCCAGTAATTCCTCTGCAACAAGGAGAAGATTTTGTCTTTGCTTCTGATGTCTGTATCAGGTCAGGCAGGGGAAGGGAATGGGGCAGAGGGTTATGTAACCCCTAAAAATTCAATAAGAAAGCCCTGCTCTCCAAGTGCATTGTCTGTAGAATAGCCCTTGTTGTCCCCTGTCCTTCAGAGAGGAGTTGAGAATTCTCACAAATGTTATATGAGAAAGTATCTTGCTTGCAGCTGAGTGTGCACTAAGTGCTCAATCATGTTTATTCCATCAAAATTCTCTTGTCAAATCAGAATCAACCATGGATTAGTTTGTATTTTTCTAGAATAAAAGGCTTAGTATTTCTGGAATGGCACTAAGTTGCTTCTACCCCAAAGATGCTGGCATGGTTTTGCAGTTTTGTTTAGTTAAAAAAAAAAAAAAAGATTCTGGTGACCTTCCCTCTCACTTGCTCCTGAGCGCTGATGGCTCCTAGACATGGTTGACCAAGCTAAGGGATTCTCTGCTCCATGCTTCTCCCCAGATTCCTGGGTGGGTATCAATGGAGAAGAATGACAAAAATTTCCCTGCAGGCTATTCCCTAGGGAGAAATAAGGAAACTCTATTGGAAGCAGGCATGCTGTGAGCACCCACTCTGTCTGTCACCAAATCCTTGCTACTATAATCTTAAAGCATTGGTGCAAGAATAGTTACCACTTGCCAAGTTTCACTTCATCCTCCTACAACCCACAGTATTGACATCAGGTCCATTTTCTAAATAAGGAACTAAGCACTTCAAGATGTTAAGACGATTGCCCAAGGTCTCACAGATAGTAAGTAGCAGAACCAGGATTTGAGCCTAGAATTTGAACCCCCAAACTGTAAATTTCTATCTCCAGGAACTGTTGTTTAGAGGCCCATTGGTTTATTTAACCTCAAACCACAATCCAACTCTCTTGGTTCCTGAGATGGGCTTCCTCTACAGCCCTATACCCTCGAGAAGGATGGAGAGATAGTGTAGGAGAGTTACTTACTGATGCACTTGAGATTGGGAGTCGTCCAGTGGGCAGTGTTTATTGTTTTGTTAAACACACACTCAATCAGGTTGGATGTTCCAGCTTTTCGCTTGAAGCCAGAGTTACAAATATATCTCTCCCTGGAGTTCAGGCTATAACTCTTGACCCTGATGTCTGCATGTTCAATGGAAGTAGGAGTAGGGCATATGAGGTCTGCAAAAGGAGATAAGGAGAGAGGTAAATAAATTTCAACTTGTTAAGACCCATTTGCCAGGGTAGTGGTCCTTAAATTAATAGCCAGGGCCTGGCTTATTATAGGAGCCTCTTAGGATAAACCCCAGATTCCAAAGCACAGCAAAGAAGTCCCATAAGGGAAGCATCATCTAGAAGCTTTCTTGAGCTTTGCCTTTAAGTTTTGCCAAAATAGCTAGAGACTGGGAGTCATCAATGGAAAACACCTATACCACACCTCCCTTTCCAACCATTTCCAAACTCAACCTCTCTCAAAGGTATTTATCTCTCTCATGTCCCATCCTGGCCACATCTCTCTGCTCTCTTGCCTAAACATAGCAATAGCCCCGATTGGTTTCCCTGCCTACTCTCCCTGCAACCTTTCTCCCATTTCCAAAAGGCAGTTAGAATTGCATTTTTGAGGGGGCGGAGCAACATGGCGGCGAGGAGACGCTGCGAGTAAGATCTCCCATTAAAAAAAGTTAATAGGGAGGAAAAGCAGCAGGTCCCAGTGAGAACTGGGACACGGAAGATAAACGGGTGACGCCAGCGAACTGCCCGAAGAAGAAACTGGCCATAAAAGAGGACTAGAAGGGAGGGAAGCGCAGAACCCTGCTCCCCTCCCCCGCCCACAGAGGCTGCACTCTCCGACCGGCAGAGAGGAGGGAAACAAGGGAAACAACAAACCAAAACGACCCACAAGAACAAACGACCCAGCAAGCGGGACTGTGAGTGGAAAGGAACTATTGCAGCCACCACACCCCGTGAACGGGAGCTGAGGCGAACCCTGCAGGATCCGCCGCAGCGGTGAGCGAACGGCTCCGGGCGCCATTAGAGAAGAACAAAGACCCCAGGAGACCCGCACACAGCCCGGGCTGCCGGTAAGCTTGCGCGGAGAGCGGCAGAGCAGCGCGCTCGGCGCGCTTGAAAAGCAAGTGCAGACCGGGATCGCGGCTGCCCAGGTACCCGCGCCTGCGACCTAGGCTTGCGGGGAGACGACCTAGGCTTGCGGGGAGACGCGCGGAGGTCCTCACTGAGGTGAAGGTCCCTCCCTGAGTGAGCAGGAACCAGGCGCCCAGGCACGGGAGCTGTGCAAAAGGCGCCATTCCCGCGCCACTGATCTGGGCTACAGCCCGCGTCCTGGAACTGAGGGCTTTGAACTGAGACCCGGGGCACGAAAATTCGGGGCGTGGTTTCTCCACGACGGTGGGGCACAAGGCAGACACAGCACCCCAAAGCTGTTGAGGTGTACCCTACCATTCCCGCTCTGTTCTCTGTCCCACGGGGTGGGGGGAGGCGAAAAACAGCCCCCAAGGACAATAGGAGAGATCTCTGGCGCCACCTAGCGACCAGGGAAAAAAAAGTCACTAACACCCTATAAAACAGGATATTTCTTAAGACTGCTTGAAAAGGGCAGAAGGTTTCTGGAGGACCCAGTGGCCAGCCGGGAAGTTATTCCACGCCAGGCCCCTTCCGACCAGCAGTCTGAGCCCACAGAGGGAGCAGGCACCCACGTCCGGGGCAGACCGGGTGCGCAGAAGAGTGTGCCTGAAACCGGAGGCGCAGGGACTGCATCCCGCTTCGCCATTTGAGAACAGGGACATTTCTTAAGTAAAAACTGCCTAAAACCAGCAGAAAGCTCCCCCAGAAGACAGAGATGGCTCCTGGAAGAGCCAGAGGGGAGCGGAGAAGTTCACCCAAGATGTCAGTCAGTCCGAGCAACACAGTGTCCCAACGCATACGACAAATTAGAAAACAGACAGTAGGGAGTAGAAGAACCACACGCAACCTAAAAACTCCTCAGGAAAGAAGCACACCACAAAAAGAAAACCACTCCCCAGATTGCAACGACAGCAACTTGGAAGAACTTCTGAGCCTTCCAGAAAGAGAATTTAAAATTGCCATGATTAAAAAAGTGATAGATCAGAAGAAGGAAATTGAGTCCCTAAAGAGGGAAGTAAGAGAAATGCAGGAGATCAAAGAATTAATGGAGGAACTAAAGAACTCTGGGAAAAGCAATGAAAGCAGAATAGATGAAATGGAAGAACGAATAAGTAATCTTGAAGACACAGAAATAAAAAGAACCAAAACAGAAAAGGAAAGAGAAGTACGAAGGAAAAAGAATGAAGAAAGACTTCGGGAACTATCTGACTCCATGAGGAAAGGAAATATAAGAGTTATAGGAATTCCAGAAGGAGAGGAGAGAGATGTAGGAACAGAGAAAATATTCATGGATATAATTGAAGAGAACTTCCCAAATGAGAAGAAGGAGCTGAAAATTGATATACAAGAAGCAAGAAGAACACCAAACTTCCACGACGAAAGGAAAAACACAGCAAGACACATAATAGTAAAGCTCCCAAGAATCCAGGACAAGGAAAAAATAATGAAGCTGACAAGAGGGAAGAAACAGATAACATTCAAAGGAAAACCAATCAGGCTGACATCAGACTTCTCTGAAGAAACACTACGGGCAAGGAGAGAGTGGAGGGACATAGTCAACAGACTCCAAGAAAACAGATGCCAACCAAGAATACTCTATCCCGCAAAGCTCTCTTTCCTCCATGAAGAAAGAATATGGACCTTCCCAGACAAAGAGAAACTCCGGAATTTCATTGCGACTAAACCCCCACTCCAAAAAATACTACAAGGAATCCTAAAGCCAGAACCTCAGAGGGACGAATAACAACGAAAGAAGACCAAAAAAAAAAAAAAAAGTTATTAAAAGAATAAATAAATAAAATCAAAGGAAAGACAAACATAATGGCAAATACAGATACTAACATATCAATATTAACTCTAAATGTAAATGGACTAAACTCTTCAATAAAAAGACACAGAGTTGCAGCCTGGATTAAGAAACAAAACCCAACCTTTGCTGTCTCCAGGAAACACATTTAGCTACAAAAGATAAAAATAGGCTCAAAGTCAAAGGATGGAAAACAATCCTACAAGCAAATGGGCCAAAAAAGAAAGCAGGAACAGCTATACTTATATCAGATAAAACAGACTTCAAACTCAAAAAAATAAAAAGAGACCCCAATGGTCACTACATTATGATTAAGGGGACAATACTTCAAGAAGAAATAACACTCATTAACATATATTCACCAAACGAAAGAGCACCAAAATATATCAGACAACTGTTGTCCTCTCTGAAAACAGACATCAGAGAAACACATATGTAGTGGGAGACTTCAACACACCACTATCAACAATGGATAGATCAACAAGACAAAAAATAAGTAAAGAAACTAAAGCTCTAAATAAGGACCTAGAGCATTTGGGCTTAACAGACATCTATAGAACACTAAACCCCAAAAAAAACGGAGTACACATTTTTCTCAAGCGCACACGGATCATTCTCCAGGATCGATCACATACTGGGGCACAAGACAAACATCAACAGATACACCAAGATTGAAATCATACCAACCATCTTTTCTGACCACGAAGGCATCAAACTAGAAATAAATCATAAAAAGAAGGCAAGGAACTATCCTACCTCATGGAGATTAAAAGCCACACTACTGGAAGACCACTGGACTAACGAGGAGATCAAAGAAGAAATTAAAAAATTCTTTGAATTGAATGACAAGGAGGACACCAATATCCTAAATGTATGGGATGCAGCAAAAGCAGTAATAAGAGGAAAATATATAGCAATAGAAGCTCACATCAAAAAACAAGAAAGAACTCAAAGAAACAACCTAATCTCGAAGCTCAAAGATCTAGAAAAAGAACAACAAAAAAACCCCAGAACCAGTAGAAGAAAAGAAATAATAAAAACCAAAGCAGAAATAAATGAAATTGAAACTAAAAAAACAATCCAAAAGATCAATGAAACCAAGAGCTGGTTCTTTGAAAAAATAAATAAAATAGACAAACCCCTAGCCAGGCTCACAAAGGAAAAAAGGGAGAAAGCACAAATACACAGAATCATAAATGAAAGAGGAGAAATCACAATGGACACAGCAGAAATCAAAAGAATAATCAGTAACTACTATGAACATTTATATGGAAACAAGTTCAACAATCTAGAGGAGATGGACAAATTCCTACAACTCTACAATCACCCAAAGCTAGATAAAGAAGAAATAGAACACCTAAACAGACCAATTACAAGCAGCGAAATTGAAATGGTAATTAAAAACCTCCCCAAAAACAAAAGCCCAGGACCTGATGGATTTACAAATGAATTCTACCAAACATTCAGAGACGAATTAGTGCCTATCCTTCACAAACTCTTCCAAAAAATTGAGAAGGAAGGGACAATACCAAACACGTTCTATGAAGCCAATATTACACTAATACCAAAACCGAATAAGGACAACACAAAAAAGGAAAACTATAGGCCAATCTCCCTAATGAACACTGATGCAAAAATCCTCAATAAAATTTTAGCTATCAGAATCCAACAATGTATCCATAAGATAATTCACCACGACCAAGTTGGATTCATTCCAGGGGCACAAGGATGGTTTAACATCCGAAAATCAATCAACGTTATCCAACACATCAACAAAAGGAAATATAAAAACCATATGATAATATCAATAGATGCTGAGAAAGCTTTCAACAAAGTGCAACACCCATTCATGATAAAAGCCCTTGAAATTCTTGGGATACAAGGAACATACCTCAACATCATAAAGGCCATCTATGAGAAGCAACAGCCAGTATCATTCTCAATGGTGAAAAGCTGAAAGCAATTCCATTAAGATCTGGAACAAGACAAGGATGTCCACTCTCACCACTGCTTTTCAATATAATACTGGAAGTCCTAGCCAGAGCAATAAGACAAGAGAAGACATCCAAGGAATCCAAATAGGAAAAGAAGAAGTCAAACTATCACTATTTGCAGATGATATGATAATATATATAGAGAACCCCAAAATCTCCACAGAAAAACTAATTCAACTCATCAATCAATTCAGTAAAGTGGCAGGATACAAAATCAACACGCAAAAGTCAGTAGCCTT